TGGTTCAACCTTCGGGTTTTTGACTAAAATCTTCGAGGAGAGGATTTCCAGACGGAACAGTTTCTTCTGATGTGGTAGGTATTGTTGAAGGGTCGGCAAAGATTGCAAAGAGTTGTTTTTCAATATCTTCGAGCGTAGCATGGGGATGAGTTTGTTTCATTTTTTGAATATACGAAGAAAATGTATTTAGGGTAACAGTATTATTAACATGAGTATTATAACAGAACTCTGAGGAAGGAGGAATACTCTTGAGTGGAAGAGATTGTGGGTTAGTGCTGAATATATCCCACCATTTAATTTTTACAGTTTTCCCAAGGCGGGGAATGTATTCAAAATTATTTGAAGTATTTTCATTAATATCATATTCCCATTTGACGATCCATGGGATCTGGTATATGGCCATGACATACAAATGGTAGTCGATTTGGTCAGAACAAGTATTATGCTCACAAAATTTAGTTTGGAAGGCTTGAAAGGAATCAGGTATGATTTGGGTAGAAGACCCCCCAAATAAAGAACCAATGACGGATCCAACTGGGGAACCTTTCAAGTATGGGCGTTTTGAATTGAATATACTATGAGTGAGAATTATTTCGATTTTGGTAAAAGAAGACTTTATGCCAAGCTTCAAGATATTCTGCATATCGATAAGATTTATATTGATATTCTGTATTTAATAATTTTTTTTCTTGTGTGGGGTTATTACCCCAATCTTCATATGATAAAAAATTTTTGATTTGTAACTTGCAGTAGGCATATAAATTGGTATTGCCTTGGAAGAAGTGGACAATTGATACTGAACCTGTTTCCATTAAAACAGACTCATATCATTCTCTAGTTTTGATGCCATTAAGAGGACTTAGATGGTTTTGAAAATATAGGGGAGCTAATTTGTTTGAGTTGATATGAACATGTTTGTCATCAATGATAATATCGGCAATGAAAGCATTGTCAATGTATACTGACTTAGTTGAAGAGGAGGATGATTTATATGGGATTTGGGCTGGAGAAAAAGCAGGACTAGATGATGTATTATGCTATGGACTTTGGATAAAATATTCGGGTACATTGGTAGATCGTAAAGGAGATATGGGTTGTAATTGTAAAAACGGTTGGCTGAGCACATGGAGCTCAGCTTGATGCAAAGGAACTAAGTCCATAGGGGTTTTTCCCTGAGATTTTTGAGATGTATTAATATTCATATTCTTATGCTTATAAAAAAGTTGCAATCCGTAAGGGAGTGGCTCTTCAGGTGGAAGAGGTGGTAATGTACGGCCCCCCTGCAAAAATTCACGGGTAAGAAAATCAGGTAAAGAGTTAGAAGCACCGTGAAGATGTTTAATGGAGAAATCAAAAGCAGATAAAATAGCTTGCCAACAGGCAAAGATTTGTTTGGAAACTAGATTTTGAACATCCTTTTGCAGGATATCTTTGGCAGCTTTGCAATCAGTTCGAATAAGAAAATGTTGATTAAGAATATCACTTTGAAATTTGGTAACACAATGAATAATAGCAAGTAATTCTTTTTTGACAATAGATTATTTCTTTTGTGTGGGATTCCATGCTTTCGAGGTAAAGCGAATAAGTTGTTCTTTGGAATCTATAGATTGTTTTAAGATTCTTCCTAATCCGATGTCCGAAGCTTCACATTCAATTATTTTAATGGCAGTTGGATTAGGTAAAGTTAAACAAGGCAATTCTTTAGCTTTCAACTTAAGTCGTTGAACAGCAGTTGTATGAAGATCCGTCCAGGGTGGAAGATTCTTTTTGAGTCTATCATATAACGGTTTTGCATTAAGAGCAAGATTCTTATAAAAATCACTAATATAATTAAGACATCCTAAAAATCTTTGAAGTTCAGTTTTATCGAGGATTTTATCAGGAAATTTATCAGCAAATAAGATAGATCTATCAATAGGAATGATAGTGCATTGATTAATGTTATGGCCTAAAAACCTGATCTTAGTTTGAAATAAATTTATCTTTTTAGCTGAAACAACTAAGCCAACATGTTTTACGGTATTGATAAAAGTATTAAGATGTTTAAAATGCTGATCAATCGAATCAAAAAATATTAAGACATCATCAATGTATACTATCATAAATTTATAATAGGGATTGAATACATCGTTCATGATTTTCTGAAATTCAGAAGGAGTATTTTTAAGACCAAAAGGCATAACATTCCATTCAAATTGGCCGAATGGTACATTAAATGTTGTTTTGTATTTATCTTCCTCTTTAATTTGTATTTGCCAGACACCTGACTCCATATCAAACTTAGAAAAAATGACTGCATGTACAAGTCTGTCTAATAAATCTTTTTTATTCGGAATTGGATATCTAATCCATTGTAAAACTTTATTAAGAGGTTTATAATTAATAACTAAACGAGGAACTCCTCGTTCTTTTTTAGCATTCTTATTTACATAAAAGGCTGAGCAACTCCAAGGAGATTGACTGGGCCTTATAAGTTTTTTCTGTACTAAATCTTTTATTTCTATTTTACATGTTTGTAATAATTCAGTGTTCATTTGAATTGGTCAGGCTTTTGTAGGGATTTTCTTTTCATCAAAATCAGGCTCATATGGTAATCCAATAATATGTTGTTTTCGATTCCAAAATGCATTAGGTAATTCATTACAAATTTATTTTTCAATTAAAGTTTTGAGTGTTTGTATCTTGTGAATTACTTCAGTGGATTGTAATTTGTCACTTATTATTTTATGTTTTATTTCTGTTTGTAAAGAGCATAGGAAATTCTCTTTTTGTTTGATAATTCCTTTTATATTATTTATTTCTTTAATTTTAGGTTTATCTAAAAATTCAAATTGAATAGTAGTATTATCTAGATTTCCTACTAATGACATGTCACTACTGGATTGAGAGTCTGTATCGATAGTTGTAAGAGAATCATATAGTTGTACTATATTAAATAACTGATTTCTGACTACTTCATCTACTATAAAAGTTTCGATTTTCTTTTTCACTTTACATTGGCTTTTATAATAACCAACTTTTCCACATTTATAACAGACGGGTAATTTCCTTTTACCCTTCTTTTTTAATGTAGAATATTTGGGAGCAAAGCGTTTGGTAAATTTGTCTCTTTTCTCTCTATGTTTATATCTCTTAGAATGATATTTTTCCTTTTTTCCTGATTTGTGTTTCTTTTTATGGATTTGATTATTACTTTTGTCTATATGATAACCAAATTGTTAACAAAAATCACCTAATTCTTTTTTACCAGTCATTTGTTGTTTATTTAACTGTTTTTTGAGTTTCATATCTGTGCATAAGGCTAAACCTTCTGCACATATTTCAGCAGATAATTCTCCTAAAGTATATTTAGAGTAAGATATTACACCATTATTTTTATTCTTTAGTCTTTCTTTGACTTTTTCGACAAATAAATAAGGTAATCCAGCTATAAATTTTTCTTTCCAGTGTTCTAGCTGACTATCTTCTCTTAATAATAATAGGGGAAAAAATACATCTTTATACCGTTTATAATGAGATAAGGTAGGACATTTTAAATTAGACAAAAAATTCTCAGATCTTGCAGCTAAGACGGCTGTATTTCCTATAAAATGAAGTGTAATCTTATATATTAATGTATTTACTGCATCACTTTCTGTATAAAGGATGTCTTGATTCTGTTCATTTTTCACAGTCCATTGTCTTGTACTATTTAGTATTGTCTGTTTAACATGTTCTGGGAGCTGGAAATCCCACCATCCTCGAAGCCATCCTGTAAACCCATAGATTATGGCTTTCGCGATTTCTTGGTCATGTGTTCCTACCATTTTGCATGCAGATGCATACATGGTCATATGTCGCATGGTGTTTAAAATTTGATGTTCAGATATTCCATCAATATTCCAGTTTACTAAAGCTCTTCCTGAATAAGAAGAAGTATTGAATATGAAGGTTTCTTCAAATTGTATATCAACTGT